ACAAAAGTCACTAATGGTTAGAGACCTTGAGTGACATGGCTCAGAATCGTTTGCAGTGGCGCAGGTGCATCCACTCTTTGTGTTCTCTCAAATTCTAAGCTTCTGCATTCCTCATGTAAATTTGTCTTACTGAATTATACTTTTCGAATCATATCTTCGCTCCTTAATCTTCTCCATTACTGCCAACACTTCTACTATCGCTATTACTCTTGGATTTGAACTGACAGTTGCGTCTCTGTGCTAATGTGTTATGGCAACTTGAACTGATGTACTCACGTACGAAGTTCTGAGTTGTATCTGTCTGTCTGTCTAACTGATCCTAAAGTAAAAATATTAGCGTACTATCACTTCAAGCTTTAAGAGAATGACTTCTGATACACGCGTTCACTGAAAAAGACTGTTAAACTTCAGTCCGTTTTTACTTAATAGAGTATTTCAGTCTTTTATTATATTTGAAACCCGTAAAGTCTTAACTCACTTAACACTACGCAGATACAAAGCAGGATTTTCTCGACCGCCGTTTGAACTTGACAAATAATCCTTAACAATTAGTTTAGCCTCGACACTGTAAGCGTAAGATACATCATAATCCTGTGTGATGAAAATTATGTACATAACGGGAGATTAACACATCCCCTCACGCATCAATATCACAGCATATTCGCGTACATAGTAGTCCGAATAAAATTGAGTGAGGTGCTTTATGACGAAAACTGAGTATGATCGGTTACGTAAGTCTTATACATTTATGAGTTCTAAAGTAGAACTGCAATCTTCCATATGATTTCGTTGCGCAAGTAATGATCGTGATAGGTATCTCCATCAACTTGGACTACTGAAGCTCTGGACTATTATAACTAATTAATCTGGTCAATATAGAGCCATGTTATAAACGAGCTAAGTGCGACCAGATCACAACATAACATCAATCCTCGAAGCTATAACTGGTTGATCTTGGCTGTTTCGGCAGTCGCTTTGTTCCTGAATAAAGCCGATAAGAATAAGGAAATTGGGGGTGAAGACTATATGAAATGCTCTAGAACCGGTCCAAGTGGCAAAAATGCATTCATTTTCCCCTCACTATTTAATGTTGAAAATCACGCCAAAGTAATCCAAAAATAATTGTGCATTTTCGATAGCATTATTGCCTATGGTAGCTGATAAAGCATTTTTGGACGTTTGTTTAACTTCTCCGTGGTTACAAATGCAAAATGAAGTTTGAGACTGTAACGTTTTTTTAAAAAATTGATTTTTTTAGGCTGCTGATTAACCGTTGGGATAAAGTGCAATCTGAGTTATTAGATAATGAGATTGTGCTTAGTCATTTGATTAAAACATTACACATTAATCCAATATATAGTATTATACTTACCATTTCTGCTATAAAATTTATCTAAATCTTGTACTTTTCGCGGTGTACTAAATTTAGTAGTTTAGGTTTCAAGAGAACAGTAAAAAATCAACCCAGCCCCACAACCGCAAATAATATATTGTTGGGAAGACGACCACTTCATATATGAATTTTATTCGCGATGGTTATCACTTAAATTCAAATATTTACTATTTAGAATCAAACTTCATGTTCAACAAATGTCAACACTGAATAAATATACAATATGAATCATCAGAATACAATAAAGTAACCAAGACGATTATCTACTCAATCAATAATCCTACTCTTTTCGCCCCTTGTCAGTAGGTTATTTTGTCTGTTGTGTAACATTACGGCTCATTCGCCAAATGGTAGCTCATATACTTGACGTAAGGAGTAGCAATGTTACCCAGATCCCCGAAGATGTCGACAAATTAAACTACAGTTTGTAGACTGATTGTTTTAAGCGACGTACTGTGACCACCAAGCTAACACATCACTATTCACAGTGTGCATACACTACATTAAGATGAACTGGGAGAACTAATTTCTGTACACAGTGATTAGTTGTCTGTCTTTCAAACTGCTAATAATCTATTCCTATCCACTTTCAGATGGTAATTTACCTAATGCTGTTTGCTGTTTTCTATTTATAGGATCATAATGAGTCACGTTATTTATCTAACTCGTAAAATATGTGCAGTTGCTACAATGTTACTTGCTCTCACGTTATTATTTCAGTCAGTGGATATTTGTTGAAATCTGTTTTTTATTGGATGTATAAAATAGCTTGAGACAGCGTAACAGTAAATGAAATCCTATATGTATGTACAAAGAAAGTTATTCTCAGTCGAGCATAAATTATTTTGATTGCCGAATATATTGATCAGTCTGTCAGTGGCTTTATCAAAAGTATTTGTTGCAACTATAAGAATAAGTATCTCAAATATATCTAGCTTGAATATTGTACTTGTTTAGTGAGCGAGTCCGGAAACCAGCTTGACTATGCCCACTACTAAATGTTCCATATGGTTGCGTGATGAAAACGGAGAACAAAATAAATCCATAGTTCAGTGGTTTATTAAAGGAGAACGTTGGCATGACATAGGGAACAGCAAACGGAGAAACATGGCGGCAACGCGAAGACAAACGTTGCGCGCAAGAATTCGAAGAAGTGTTTTTGGTACAATTAAACACAGCGAATACAATAATGTTCACATTTCAAAAATCGCATTTTCTTCGTAGAAGCGTTACACTACAGCAGCCCCCGCCTAGAAAGTGTTTACACTTTCGATACATAGCGGCTACGTTTGACGGGGGGCTGGTCGACCAACATTTGGTTTTAGCGCGGAAGGGTTGACGAACAGGAAGCGACCAATGAAGCTCGAGTTGTCACCGATAGTCTTCTACGTTGAACCGTACCAGTAGTAACGTGCCAGGTTTGCTGCTCGAGTTGATGTGCCAAGTTTTTCTATCGGGTTGGCATGCCACACCAGCGTGGCTCGTATCCAGAGTCTGAAGATTGCTTTCGTAGGCGTTCGGACCAGATAAAGCTGCAGACGTAGGACGGAACCAAATTGAGCGGAGCCAGAAACGACCATTTCGAAACCATTCGTATACCAGATATATTCGTCACCAGAAAATCGACTGAGTGCATTGACAAGAGCGTGGGTGATCAGGCCAGCTTTCGCCAAGGTTGACTGAAGTCGACCGTACCAACAGGACAATGGTCGGAGGTATAGGCTCGGGGTAAAAAAAGAAGAAAAGGGAGAAAAGTGTAGCATGCATGTAGTACGAGTGTAAAATCCTATGCCGAACCCGTGGTTGATTGGTAGTTATTCGAGAAAGCGTACAGGTAGGCGTACGCGGCGACCGGCACGCGAGACAGTAGCCTCGTGCGTACCTCGTGATCCTGCATTCTCATCCGCAGTCAAGTGCGGCGTGGTCTGCTGATCTGGACGTGAGACCGGAGTCTCATCCGTAGATAGTGCAGATGGCGCGTGCTGCTGACTGGGACGTGAGAATGAGGTTTCTGATTTCGCTAGCGTGGGATCCGAAGGAAAAATAAGGATCCCGCTAGTGAGTTGGACGAGTCCAGCATTAAATCTCGATTTACCAGGTAGGGCACTGTCATTGACGTGCGCTGGTATGAGACGATCAATGCTGACTGTGTCCATCAACCTTGAAGGTCTTTTCGTGACGATAGATCACGTGAAAAGATCCTTCGTAAGGTTGTTGAGTACCGAATCTACTAGTAAGAAAACTTGCGGACAGGTAAATAACTCTCGAGGGAGAGCGACCTGTCGATGTTATATTCGAGTTCACACCGGAGGCAGTATTCGCATCAACGCAGATAGTCATTGGACGTAATCTGATATACATAAATCGCTGCTCCGTGGTGTGAAGAAATTCCCCAGGCAGATGCAATGTCGTGCCGTATATGAGTTCGAAGGCGGAACATTGGATTCTGCCGTTGCTGCTCCGTAATCGCCATGTCGTCTCCTACAAATGCCATCTTTCTGCGAACCGAGTGGAGAGGAGGCTTAAGGACTGTGAGAAAGACGAAGTAATACATATAGCAAGTACACTGTCAAACTCACGCTTCGCGAAAACCAAGTTGTCCAGTGCCAGTCGGCGAGATTTTGCCGTGACTGGGGGTCTGCAGGTGACGATGTGGCTTACCACATAAATAATCACCAGTTAAATCTCCTCGGTTTCGTTACTTTGGGGAATTTATCGAATATAACATGAAATAAATAGTAATGCGAAAAAATGTACATATTAATGATTTGGTACATATCTGTTTGTGTGTTAAGAACCATGGATTTGATATTCGACGAAGTATCGATTAACGCAGCCTACGTGAATCGAATAGCAATTCATAGTGCTGTAATGGATCGATACCGAGTATGGCTATGGGAACATCAGAAGGGATGAACGTCCATAGATACTGTCGTCTGATACTCAGGTTGATAGTTAGCTGTCGTGTACCGTAGGTAGGAATGACAGAGCCATTCGCAGTGCGTGGTCGAAGCATCGTAGCTTATGACTTACTGCTACCAAACGATACGACAGAAACTTGGGCACTTGTGGCCATCAAGTACCTAGCGTTAGTGCAAAAATTGAGCACGTAAAATAAACTAACAACCTGAAGTGACGGTGAGGAGACATGACCTGCACCTCGGAGTCTATTATTATAGCTATCTACCATTTCGAAAAGTTGTTGCAAGTATACAATATGTTGAAGACATTATTAATAGTATTGCAACATTATAAAAATTGTGGTAGATGAATAATAGACTCACCGTAATTGACTTCTTTTGAAGAAACGTCAGTCTCACCAATTTTAGTGCTGTAGGAAATCGGCTTGACTATGCCCACTACTAAATGTTCCATATGGTTGCGTGATGAAAACGGAGAACAAAATAAATCCATAGTTCAGTGGTTTATTAAAGGAGAACGTTGGCATGACATAGGGAACAGCAAACGGAGAAACATGGCGGCAACGCGAAGACAAACGTTGCGCGCAAGAATTCGAAGAAGTGTTTTTGGTACAATTAAACACAGCGAATACAATAATGTTCACATTTCAAAAATCGCATTTTCTTCGTAGAAGCGTTACACTACACTTGTTTAGTGTGTATCAGAGCACATAGAAAATATACACAACTGGAGTGTAAATGAATAAGACAGGTGATCTCAATGACAAAAATCAGGACAAAATAACGATTAACAGTGGCAAAGTTTCTTCTAGGTTGACCTCTAGTTTTATCTTTATTCACAGTTGGACAAACTCGTGAAGAATTACTTACAAACAAACGAGAAACATGATAAATGAAAATCAAGAAGTATAAAGGAAGACAAAAACAATAGTAAATCATACAAGAGATTTTACACAAAATGTTGAGCAGTTTAAACGATTCCATAAGGAGAATTGTGAAACAGATTCGCCAAAACCAAGACTAGAAATCATTTCATATATCTCGGATGAATTCAAATTCACCGGGATATTTATATAAATCTTTGTTAAATGAATCGGTAAACGTAATAATTTCCTAAGTATTATTCCCAGATACACATCTTCGAATCTAAAATGTTTTGTGTAAAGCATAGCGACATTAATTTCACGTGCCAAATTCATTGAAAGAAAAAAATTACCTGCTTCCACAAATGGAGGATAATAACGTGGAGCATACTCTTTGTGATTAATATACCATTTAGAGAAATGGCTGCTGTTCTTACGAACTGGTTCTGAATTAAACCAGACATAACCACTGATCAAGAGTTTACGCAGCTCTGTGCTCAAACCTTCAATATAGGCGATAACATTTTTCGGATAGACAAAATAGTCATCATCCACAAACATAATGATTGGGACCTTTGAACAATATTTCACTGCCCAATTAATACCAAACATGGTTTTGTATGTATTGCTATAATAAGTATCAAGAAAATCTTGTTGAATGATATCATGATATACATTGGATTCATTTTTTATTATAGATTTTAAACTTGTGTTATCAGGTGGGACATTTCCAAGAAGAAAAAGATGCACGACACGACGTCCACCCCAACAAAAATCATTACCCCATGTTAGGCGTATAGTATTTCTGCGTAAATAGTTTGATGGAGCAGATTTGATGAGAATCAATAGTTCTGGAGGTTCTCCTGTTTTCAACAGTATGTTGTCACACTTTTGATATTCACCTATGAGAATTGGAAATCGTGGATCATTTATTGGACGAATTGTTAAGGGCAAGTTTGAAAGAACCTCTCTGACGACTTTCGGCATATCCACCATCATAGGATATTCGAATTCATCAGAACCTGAAGAAAAGCTAGGACTTATGAAAATTGTATCTGTTTTATTAGATATTGATAAGGTCGGCCGTTCTTTTGACACAGTTTGAGCTAATCTTCTCTCAGAGAATACGCTTACACTAGCTAAATCAACTGATTTAAGCAAATCCTTGACGACAGATGAGTAATTATATATGATATTCACTGACTGAAATAATAACGTGAGAGCAAGTAACATTGTAGCAACTGCACATATTTTACGAGTTAGATAAATAACGTGACTCATTATGATCCTATAAATAGAAAACAGCAAACAGCATCAGGTAAATTACCATCTGAAAGTAGATAGGAATAGATTATTAGCAATTTGAAAGACAGACAACTAATTACAGTGTACAGAAATTAATTCTTCCAGTTCATTTTAATGTAGTGTATGCACACTGTGAATAGTGATGTGTTAGCTTGGTGGTCACAGTCTACAAACTGTGATTTAATTTGTTGACGTTTTCGGGGATCTGGGTAACATTGTTACTCCTTTCGTCAAGTATAAGAGCTACCATTTGGCGAATGAGCCGTAATGTTACACAACAGACAAAATAACCTACTGACAAGGGGCGAAAAGAGTAGGATTATTGATTGAGTAGATAATCGTCTTGGTTACTTTATTGTATTCTGATGATTCATATTGTATATTTATTCAGTGTTGACATTTGTTGAACATGAAGTTTGATTCTAAATAGTAAATATTTGAATTTAAGTGATAACCATCGCGAATAAAATTCATATATGAAGTGGTCGTCTTCCCAACAATATATTATTTGCGGTTGTGGAGTTGGGTTGATTTCCTTTAATTTTCTGAATAATCGATGGATGATTTGAGGAGGCTATGGACAATACTGAAAATAATTACATATATTCACTGAGTCAAACACTGTTACGATTGGGTTGATGTAAAAGACTGAGCAGCAGTAAGCGAGATACAACCATCTCCGTCTTACTTTTGAGTCACCTTGAGAGTTGCAGACAGTACAAACTGAATCCTTCGGGCGACAAAGAGCTAATGAGCAAAGACACGACAAAGCACATATCACAGCTACCCCTTAGACATTCAGGGTCAAGTAACGATTTAATTTGATGACTAACTGCAGTTTAATTCCCTAATAAATCAGATTACACTTTATCCTAACGGTGACTTAGTAGCCGAAAAAGTCAATTCTAACATGAACTTTACAGTTTCGAACTCCGTCTCATCCACTTTTGTGTGCCATTGAGAAGATAGATAAACGTTCAAGAATTTGTTGTCTGCTAACACGAGCAATAATGCTATCCAAAATACATAACTATTCATAGATTAATTTACTATAACTGTTAATATTAAGTATTGAGGTGACCGTATTGGACCAGGAGTTAGTAGCTGGACGTAACAAGTTTTACAACTTTATACATCAGAAGGCATCAGAACCAATGAGTTTCAAGGCATAACTATCCGAGTTTTAACCAAAGCATACTCTCGTTTACAACAATACAAACATCACTTCAAGCTGAAATCTCTTTTTCAATCTGAGATATTGAGTTTGTAGGGGCATTTCAGCTCGTATGGTTGTGTAGTGGTAAATAAACCCAGAAAACGAATAATTTTGTGAGTGTTCGACATTGTTGCTGATCTCATTAACTTTACTGGACACTAGTTAAAGGCGCTTGCGCAAGCATCCGCACCAGATCATTTTTGATACGCCATGCAACGTATCTCCTCACATCAACTGGGAGGATTATAAAACCCACTTGTCGACTTTTCAACCATCCTTTAGATTTACCTTCGACCTTTCTTATTTTCAACTACTTGTTTGACTGGGTTTTTGGTATTCATCGTTTGCAAGGTGTTACGGAGAGAAGCATTGTCAAACCCTGAATCTCTGTGACATTCTCAGATGCACCACTACTGATTTTAAAGCTTTGAGTTTTATTTTCAAGATGGAAATAATATTATTGGTGAATATGGAGACTTATGCACAAAATATAGCTTCGAATGTACGAATGGGATGAAAAAGTAGAACATATCGGGAGATATCAAATACGAACAAAAATGAATAAATTTCGTGACTGCGACCGATTCTAGACCATTTCACATAGTCTTCACCACCAAGTTCCTTATATATATTAACACTGTACGGGAAAACAGCTGCTACCGAAATAGCCAAAACCGACCATTATCGACTTCGAGAAATGATGCTTTGTAGCCATCTGGTTGCCCTTAGCCTGTTCAAAACATGGCTGTATGTTGACCAGGTCAATTGGTTATAATAGACCACAGCCACAAGTTTCAACAGTTCAAGTTGATGCAGATTCACTGCAAGCATTGCTTGCTCAAAGAAATCAAATGAAAGCATGTAGTAGGTCATTGTATGGAATGTCACGAATGACATTCTTTTCGTATTCTGGTGTAAACTTCATATTAGGGTTCGATTAAACAGTCATACTGACTTTTTGATCAAAGAAGACAAAGATATACTTGCCACTGTTAAATGTAGTCTTAGGTTGGTAAGTTAGAGAATAACATAATGTGTATCACTTCAATATAGGTCTGAATAATCTACACTAGATTGGTATGAAACAGTAAATGTCATAAGGAACATCTAAGGAAGAATAATCTTTAAAAAAATTGCCTTACACGTTAAATAGAAAAACTCAACTTATGTTTATTGGTTCTACTTTAAAACTCACAAAGTTATACTTACATGGCGGTCAAATGAGATTTCCATAACCGACTATAACCAGTTTTTGTTAAAATAAAGACCTTACTCAACGTTAGTCACACTACTAAGTACGCGAATATGCTGTGATGTTGATGAGGCAGAGAGGATACGCTAATCTCTACTTGTGTTCATAACTTCATCACATGCCACCATTATAATGTCTTTAATGCTTGAAGTGTCTAGTAAAAACTAGTGATGATAAAGAGTACTCGTCTAGTGTAGACGATGGTTGGCAAAACCGTATTTTTTCTCTACGTCGTTTAAAAATTTTGCGAATATAAAGGTTTCAAATAAAACAATAGACTGAGATACTCTATAAAGGAAAAGTAACAGGTGTTTAGTTCAATGTGAAACGTTAATCTGTATCTTTTTCAGTAAAAACGTGTATGCAAAAGGAAACGTTCAGTGTTTAAAATGATATTACACTGACGTTTTTACGAAAAGATAAGTAAAAATGTGAAATAAATCTTAATTTACGAATTTGATTCAGGAGTGTAAAAGGATGTTCATACTAGTATTGAAGTAAAAACAACCTTACGCTATAGATTATAACACAAACCTGTGCAACCTCTTTCAATAGAATAATTACTTATGTTATTGAACTACCTAGTCATTATGGTTAGTTGTTAACGCATTAAGTAACTTACATTTTGCGGTGACCTTAAACAAAAGTCCAATATCCAATATCTTTTTCATGAGCTAGTATAAACCAATTGATTTCTTTGCGCTCTATTCTTGTTCTTTCAGTTCGGTTCCAGGTGTTTGATAATGTCCAATGAATGGGGTCTAGCAACTCAACTGTCTAATTCCAGTCAGTTGGCAGTTGATTGTGGGTTTGTATGTCCCGTTAATTGAATGAATACGTTTGTTTCAGGACAGTAGGGTTTCTGAATACCAGCAGCTATCACAATACCAGACAGGCGATCAGTTGATTGCAACGTGGATAATAATAGTGACAATACAAAGACGATTTCGGAATTGAGTAAATAAATGGGTAATTTAGTTTATTCATTGGTTATGAAGATTGTGAGAGAGGACAGAAATGTAAGCAAGGGAGAGGAAGCAGAAATAATAGGAGAGATAGATTAAGTAGGTGGCTTGAGGAGATGGCAATAATAATGACTAGCAAGTTTCAAGACATGCATCAGGCACAGCTGGTTCGAGTGGGAGATGATAATCTCCATGTAAGTAGGCGTTTATCAAGTCTCTTCCGGAAGCTGTTCACTGAGGGGCTTGTGGTCACTTCAGACATCATTTGTATACAATACGGAGGATAATATGTAGAATCTGTGGGATTTAATTTGGCCTACAGCTATGCCACTAGAACTGTAAGCGCGATACTGGCGACCACTTAGTCTGTGTTGAAACTAGTCAGAACTTAGTTTTAATCTCTATCCCTTTCTAAACGTAAAAACAATCAGATGAGTACAATCATTATTAAAATTAAAGCTACTAAGTGAAACGAACAAATATGTGGACCAGTTTGCGTGTCTTATTGAAATGACTAAAATTGTGAGTCACAATAATGTGATAGGATAATAATGTCTTCCAACTGGTAGTCACACGCAACAGACACATCCGACCAGATCAAAGGGGTGAGCACTTAAACCACGATTTGATTGGTTAGTTATGGACCTAAATAACAGTCCCCCCTAAGCGAACACTACGACTAGGCCTCGTTACCGTCGCTTTCAAATAATCGACCTGTTATAGAATGCACAGGTCAGATCTCTTCGGTTACTCTTCAATTGAACTGTTCTGACTATAATTGACCTGTCTAACTATATCTTTCGGTAACCGATTTCTCGGTGAGCCAATATTGTATATTAACACTAAGTCTCACAGTTGTAGATTCCTTCTCATGTCCAACCACTTGGATCTCGCCTGAAGGGTCGGTAGTCACTCCCGTAACTATCTGTTCCAGAAAAGGTTGCCTAGTTGTTGCGCTTCCTTCCATTTCCTGTTATATATGCAAGTTTTACTCATTCGTGCCTCTGTAATCTAGCAATAGCTTATTTGGCTTAGGTACATCCGGATTATCGCAGTCACTAATTAGCTCTATTAGTTGCTGATTGCGCAGTATTCCTTCAGCTTCTATTAAAAATGTCTGCATAGTCTCATCCATCAATACCTTCTGAAACAGTGGTGACAGTAGAATTCTTCTTATTGACTTTATGACGTGTCCCCATACACTGCCTCGATGAATTGTTCTCAGATGTTCAAAATGCCATCAACAACCTCTTTTTGAACGGGTATTTGCAATCTTATTCTCTTCCCAATTACCCACGATCTGTCTTAGACTGGAGTCGGCTCCTCTAAGGTTTTAACCGTTGTCGCTAAAGTCATGTTTCGGTTGACCCCGTCTAGCAACGAGTCTGGAGAGAACGTATAAAAATGAATGCGTATCTAAGGTGTATGCCATTTTCATGTGAACTGCCATGATAAAGAGGC